CCTACTAGGTGTCCGTTCGGTTTCCATCGCCTCGCCTGTCGTGGTACCGGACCGAAAGGACGAATTAGGTACGGTACAGACAGTACTTAACTGTGAGCGAGGGGTATAGAGGTGGGAAAGTTCTGGTTATGTTCATTTTAGAACAAAAAATGTGTGAAGGATAGTGGTGGTGAGAAGATGGGGGGAGGGGGGACAGCCAGGCTTGGGGAAAGCGTGCCCCAGAGATGATGTGGCACTGATTGGTCCTGGGGTCCCAATGTCCCTTTTCTAGGTTAAGTCTCATAAGTTCACGTTAGAGACACAGGAACGATGCCAGCTGCCATTTACTACACTATATATGAACACCCTCCACGCAACAGCTCTGCTCCTTACAAGAACGCTATGAGGTAAGGATCATTTGCTTCATTTTACAGATGGAGAAACCTGAGTTTGGAGAAGATAAGAAAATGCCCCAAATCACCCAGCAAGTCCATGACACAACCAGGATTTAAACCCAGGCTTGTCTATACCAAAACCACATTCTTTCCACTAAGCCATACTGCTTAACCATAATGCAAGAGGGCAATCCTTACCTAAACTGAAAAATGCTTTAGTTATGGAATTGCAGGCACTGTGGCAGCAGGTGGGTGCGCAAGGACCTTCACAAATCACACCACAAGAAATGCCCTTCTGCTGCCCTGCAGCTCAAGCTTACATTCTCAGAGTGGGAACAGCAGCCAGGCTGCACCCGCAGGCTGAGGGCGGCACTCTAGCAGGGGCTTCCTCCAGGGCAGTGTCTCCCATCCCACTGAGCCCCAGGGTGTGGGGTATTGGTCTCTGAGAGGGAGGGAGAGGGATCTGTCACACAGGAAAGAGAAATGACAGAAACCTTCCTGCTCTAGAAACACAGAGAGGGAGGCACACCCCAAGTTTCTGCTACTATAAATCAAGGGCCTTAAGATGGAGAGGTGAGAAGAGGCCCCTCCCAGCTGCCTCTTGGGCCTGGGGTTAGAGGAACTTTAAAAGCAAGCTTAGGTGGCTGCCCCACCTCCTACCCCCAGTCCTGGCCTAAATGGAACTCCCAAACCAAGGGGTCATGAGAGAAACAAGGAAAGGCCTGGTGGACCCCCACCCTCTGAGTCAACTGGAAACCCCAGTGCTTAGCACTGATGCTTGTTTGTAAAAGAAGTCCAATAAAAGCAGCCACCACACAGGATTATGAGGATTGAGTATATCGTCACATGAAAAACACTTAGAGCTGGCCCTGGCACATAACAAGCGCTTGCTTAATACAATACAAGAAGAATGATGTTGCCATGCCACAGAAAGGATATACATTACTATTTCCCAAATGTCCAAAATCTCAAGCCTATGGAATCTTATCTTATAGTTTGGTCTTCAGGTATTGAAATAATTTCTCATTTATAATTTCTAATAAAAGAGTAACATGCAAAAAAAAAAAAAAGTGCTCTCAGCCCAGCTTGGAGCTAGACATTCAGGGGTTGCAAAAGGGTGTAAGACATGGTCATCCTGCAAGTCACTGGCAGATCTGGGCCACAGCTCCAATATGCTGACTCAGGTGGAATCGGTTATCTTACTCTACTCAAATGTTAAAATTTAGAAGACAATGATAAAGTCGTATTAGAAGTGAAACAACAGACAGTGCTTTTTGCTCACTTGGGAGACTTTTTCAGCCTACAAGGGTCTCCAATCCATCCTACTGGGATCCCAAAGTCTGATTCCTTGAAACACAGCAGCTACCACACCTCAAGCATTTACCACAGGCAGACACCATTTCAGCTGTTTTTCTGCATCATCTCATCTACTCCACACAAAAGCCCTGATGGATAGGCACTGAGGAAGCTGAGCCTACCTGCTCAGGCTCATTCAGCTAGTAAGCGGCAGAGGCTCAACTTGAACCTGGACTTGTTAGACTACAAGATACAGGTCTTTACCCCATGCTAGTCTCCTTTCAAATGCCTTTTTAATTCTGGAAATTCCCTTCCTCTGGAATACAATGAACCAATCCTCCACTGCAAGACAGAAAAAGTATTTATCCCAACCATACAAGGTAGGGGGCACTAAGCGAGGAAGTGAGATGGCTGGAAGAGTTTCTGGCCAGGAGCTGGGAGCTCTAGTGTCCTGGTTTCCATGCCTGCTCATGCTGCCAATCAACATCATGTTCTAAGACCAAGCATTTGGCTTCCAGAAAGTCTTGGCTATGGATAAGTTTAGTTAGCATTGACCTTTGTGCCAAATCCTGAAATCCAAAAAATTTTGGCTCCCTGTTCTCTTAAAGATTAGAATTGAGGACTGAAGGCCAAATGGGTGAGGGATGTGAAAAGGGTTCCAAGAAAGAGTAAGCTATTAATGGGAGACAGAGCCAGAACAAAGAAGGGAGACCAGGTAACTTGAATCTATGCAGTCACCTTCCCAGGGGTCTCCACAAACTCTCTGTTGGTGTCCCTATCCAAAGCAGAACTAGTCAGCTATCAAAGGTGAAAGGGGAATGGAGGAAGAGGGCATGGGGAGAGGACTTGGCCCTGGGCAGCCTTCTTGTCATCAAATCTCCACCAGGGCACAGCACAGAAGAATCTGTAGCACCATGGGAGGAAGTAGCATCAGTATGACCAGCATCTGTCATAGCCTGGCAGACCCGAGTAACTGTGTGTCCTTGGGTAAGGCATGTAGCCCCTCTGAGCCTTTTTCCTCATCTGTTAAATTGGTCTGTTAAATGTCTTCTGTGTGCCAGTCAGGGACTCTTCTAGGCATCTGTCAGCCGAGAATAAGATAAGGCTCTGCTCCCATGGAACTTACAGTCTAATTGGGGAAGACAGACCATAAACAGGTAGGTAAATGAGTTAATTTTAGTTAGTGATAAGTGCTGTGAAGAAAATTAGAACACATTCATGTGATGGAGTCACCAAGGCTGGCTACTCTGAGTGGGTATAATCTCATGGGTTGTTAGGAGAATTAAGTGCATTAACATAAGAAATGTGCTTAGCCTAGAGCTTGCCAGAGAATAATCACTCAGTAAATAATAGCCATCATTGCCATCATCACCCTGACCATCATCATCTCAGAACCCCCAAATGAGAGTAAAGAGGAGACTGCCTGAGGTTCTTAAATTAACATCCTACCCAAGCCTCCTGTCTGTGAACCAGGTTCCACGTCAAAAACAAAAGAGACAGTGTAATAACCCCTTGCCTTGACTTTCACATTCATTATCTCGTGGAGCTTCCCAATATACATGGTGTGTTATTATCTCTACTTTACAGACCAGGAAATAGACAACAGAGATGTTAGGTGACCTGTTCCAGTGGACTGGCCAGGCTCCTGGGATTTAACTCTGTGACAAGTCACTTTTCTGTCAGCCACTAGTTTCCAAGAGGGGATGTAGAAGACAGGGGGGAAAAACAATAAATCTGGGTGGCATCCATCCACCTAACCATCTATCCCTCATTTTAATAGATATTTATCAACATTTGTTAAACTAGGTGCCAGGCCTTGTCCTAGGCCAAGACAAGATCATCCCTATGATCACAGAGGTTGCATTTTAGTGGCAGGCAAGACAGACATGACCACAAAAACAAATGAACAGCTTCTATCAGCTAAAGAAAGCTATGAAGGAAAACAAGCAGGAGGACTTCTTACCTGCCTAAACTTTGGGGAGTGACTAGATGCTGGTTGAGAAGAGGGGTGGAAGAGAAGAGGGAGCATGAAGATGGGTAGGGAGGATCTTGGACCTTCTAGGAAGGCAAGATCAAAGGAATAAACTCGGGATAGCTCCTAGAGCTTGTCCGCCTACTGTGTGAGCCAGGCGTTTTGCATATATTGCCTTGTTTCAACGAAGGCCAGCCCACTGAGGAGGAAACTCAAGGCTGAGATTTGATAATCTCTCACATTTGCATAGCGTGTTGTATTTTTCAACATGGTTCTCACACATTTGTCATCACCTCCAATCCTGCAACGCCCCTGTAAGGTAGGGAGAGAAGTTATGACTATCCCCATTTGATAGTAGAAAAAAAAATGAGCCACAGAGGCCACTGGCTTGCCTAAGGCCACACAGCTGGTATCTCATGGCACCAAGCCTAGAACAGAGGCCTCTGGTTTCCAGCATCAAGAACCTTCACAGAGCTGCCTCCTCTGAGCCTCCTTGGAATGGCTTCTCCTCCATTTGGGAGAGAGTTGGATACAAGATCAGGAGACAGGAGCTCTGGCATTTGCCTGATAGGCCTCACTTCCAGAAGCCTCCTTCCTAGCCTGTGGGGATTTGCAAATCACCCAGCTGGGGGTTCGAGTGTGGGTGGGGCCTTTCCCCAGAAGTTCACTCTGGGTCCACAGCATGGAGGGGTATGGTAGCAGCTGCTCCATGCCCAGTCAGACTCAGCCTCCTAACCCCAACAACCGTCATTCTGGCCACCAGGATGGAGGAAGCCTGAAATGGTGACATAGGGTTTCATCCCAAATCATTTCAGCCTCTAAATGCCCAGTGCTTTCTGGCTGAGCCACTTAAAACTCCCAATGAGACTAAGTAAATGTGTCTCAGCCACTAGTTGGGGCTTTCTGGGTTCCAGTTAGGGTACAAAGAGACTTATAAGTCTAGTCTCTGAGAGCAGGTGTGACTTGCCTAGGGACACACAGCACATATCAGGATTGGGATTCAAGTCTCTTAGCTTCCTGTCCAGTACTCAGCTCAATCAATGACTATCTCAAAGGCATCTCAATAATTTAGAGATGGAAAAGGCCTCTGATTCAATTTTACTGGAAGGGAAGAAAACTTACACCAAGGGGGTAGCCTCAAGCCCCCCCAAAGGAGGTGTCTGGCACAGGACAGATCCAGTGATCTGGGCCCCATTTCTCTCCAGCCTGAGGAGGAAGAGTTCCAGGGGCTGCCTGAGCTGGGTGTTGACACCCAGATACACCCAGTGACATGTCAAACCCTGTTGTGAGCCACCCAGCTTCATCAGCAGTGATCAATCACACTCACTAATTACCCACAGGGAGGCCCTGCCACAACTGCTCACAGAGGAATCATCTTTCAGTCAGCTCCATGCAAGGTGTTCCCTGGGCATGACAGGAGTGCTCCAGGGCTGTCGTGCTTGCAAGTGGCCCATCTGGTTTCTGGACGCACAGGTTGTGAAATGTGCCTTGTCACATGCTGGGGGCTCATTTGGGGGCCTCAATGGGGGAAATGACAGAGCCTAGGGCATGGCTCTATAATGACTCCAGTTTGAATGAGGCAGTGTGAACTGGGTAGGCCCCAGAGCTATGCAGACCTGGGTTCCGGTTTCAGCTCTGCTAGTTACTAGCTGTGTGACTTTAGGCAACTTGATCTCTCTGTGCCTCACTTTTCTTACCTGTAAAAAATGAGGGAAGATGAGAGCACTCACCTTACAGAATTATTATGATAGATACTGTTCACTGTGGGCCTCCCAAGTGCCAGGTGCTGGTCCAACAATTTCTAGTCATTGTTTTGTTTAATCTTTACAACGTGGTGACGCATTACTGTTGGAAAATGCAATGAGATAACGGAGGCAAAGTGATGAGCACAGTGCCAGCACGTAACACCACGAACTATTATTACTAATACCCACTTTGTGGGGTAGACACCGGAAAACTGCCTGACAACTCACAGCCTAGCTTTCTCCTTCTCCTAGTGGCAGAGAATACCTGATGCTTGGAGATTCCCAGATAACAAGGGGCAAGCACTGCCAGTATCATCATCTGGCTCCAGGTGGGCAAGCTGAGGGCGGTCATGCTCCAGCCAACACTTCTAGTTCCAGGTAAATTAATTATGTGCCATTTTCTAATTATACCAGAAACTTATTTTCTCTGTTTGAAAATTCTCCCCTCAATGGGAATTTTTCTTTCATGCTATATTCTCCTCTTGGTTTCCCGCCCAATTGTCCTAATTTTTTTTTCTGTACTGTTTGATTGACAGGTGAAGGAAATTGCAATCCACCTCTAGGCCCAGGGTGCCACATCCTTCCATTCATTAATTCACTGATTCATTCAACAAATGTTCACTGAGGGTTACCTTATAACAGGTCCTATGCTGGGTACTGGGACAGAAAGGTAAATAACATGTTGTCCCTGCCCTCAAAAGTTCCCAATTCTTACTGACCTTCTAGGAAGGTCCAGTGAAATAACACTGAATACTGGTGAGAGAACTTCCCTTCAGGACCTTCACTACATCAGTTCCTCTGACCTTTTGAAAGAAGTAAAAGAAATAGAAGGAGCGGGCCATCCAGCCAGGATTATCTGGTCCATTTTACAAATGGAAAAGGTGAGTTCCAGAGATGGGAGGGAATACAAGGGAAGGAAAAGGATCTAACTTAATAGGTGCCTTTTCATTCTCACACATGCCCTGTGAGATGGCTGTTATCACCATTTTACACATGCAGAAACCGACCCTTATAGAGGTTAAGGAGCTCATCCAAAAGTCACCCAGTCCATAGGTGGCAGAGCTGGGCTCAAACACAGGTGTGACCCCAGAGCAAAGCTCTCAGCCTGCTGACTCAGTAACTCTACTGCAGGCCAGCAATGGATGTGGGAACCTCCTGCCTTTCAATCCTCTGCCAGGTCTTCTAGGCCAATGGTTCTTAAACGCAAACGTGCATCATTTTCACCTGGAGGGCCTGTTAAAACACATTGCTGAACCCCACCCCCAGAGTTTCCGATTCAGTAGGTCTAGGGTGGGGCTGAGAATTTGCATTTCTAAGGAGTTCCCAGGTGATGATGCTGATGAAGCTGGTCCAGGGACCAACCACACTTAGAGAACACTGTTTTTTGTTTTTTGTTTTTTCCCCGATGAACCAATACCTCTCTTTTAAAAATGACACTCCTCTCCCTCATTTCAAAAGCAATATAGACTTATGAAATAATATATAAAATGTGGAACATACAGAAAAACTGAAAGCAGAGACTAGAATTCACCTGCATTCCTCTGCTCAGACAAAAGCACCGAAAACAGTCTGGCATATCTCCTCTTTTTTCAACATCTGTGCTGGTAGAAAGCAGGGTGGCACATTGGTGTGGGGCATCCTTCCGCCCCCTCAGTTAAGATGAGATCTTGGGAAGCCTGGGGCAAGCTGAAGTCTCTTCTTACGCAAAATTCTGTTTATACTCCCATCCCTCATTGGATTGCCGGGAGGCGTAAAGGGGGTGATGTATTTATCAAGCGGTGAACACTGTGTCCGCTGTGAAGTCAACGCTCAATAAAGGCTTGGCTGTTGTTTTTGCTTTCGCCGAAGACAACTTCGAGTATACTATTTGTGTTTCAGCCCTGCGGCCCTTCCTTCCCCTCTTCCTCCATGTGGACCCCTGAAGACCCTCCTGGCTCCAGGAACCCACAGGGCCATCTCGGGGCGAGGGCAGCTGGCCGAGCAGCAGGGGCTGCGCCGTTAGGGTGTTAGGGTCGTCTTGGCCTCTCGGCCTGTTTTACAGCCTAGCCTTAATGAGGGTTTTTAACTTTTCATTCACTAGCAGCGTAGCTCCGACTTTAATAACACACCGTGCACGACAAAAATTTGCTCCTGGCAATCATGGTTTCGACCACAAAACCACAGCAGGAGGCGTTCCTGGTTAACTCTTTCAGCACTGCAGGCAGTCTGGTGCCCAGAGCTCCGGGAGCTCGGATGGAGGTCCCCTCCCACCCTCAGTAGCAGCTCTCCAAGGCTTTGGAGAAGATTCCAGACTGCAGCCCAGGGAGGCTGCAGAGGGGAATCCTGGCGCGCCCCGATCACTTTCCTCTCTCTGCTCCATTCGACAGACCTCCTGCGAGCTGACCACTTTATCTCTCACCCCTCATTTCCTCGACGGGCGGGATGAGACAGCACAGGCTGGCCGGACACCCAGTAGGCCCTCGCGCACCGCTACACTTAACGACTGCAAAGATGGCGACCTGCCTTTGACCCGCCGCCCCCTCGGGAGCTCTTATCCCGCGAGAAGAGGGAGTCGTCGGGCAGTGACTTCCGGTGCCCTCCGCCACCCCAGGATCCCTTGCGACTGGCTCTAGCCCTCGGGGTGTCGGAGCCGCTGGTGAAGGCGCCCGGCGGCTCACGGAGGCCCCGGAGGCTGGCGGACGCTGGCAGCCCTACCACATGAAAGTCCCCCGTGCGCTCCACCCGCCAGCTGCCTCAAGCTGGCTTTTAACTCCACTGCCTTGGCCTCCGTGCTCCTCAAGAGCCGGCCTCCTAGCAATAGGGCTCACGTTTGTGGAGCTCTTCCTCCGGGCCAGGTGGCCCACATACAGAATCTCACTGTTCCCCCGCCCAGGTAGGTGTTATAGCCCTTAATGGACAGAGGAGGAAGCTGAAGGTCAGAGAGGAGAAGCAAATTTACAGGGTCCTGAAGTTGCTAAGTGGCACAATTTAGTCATACACAAGCCAGGCTTTTCCCGCTACGCCAAGGCCTAGCAAGAGTTGTTCATTCTGTCAGGGCTCGAGATGGACAGGCTCTAAGACCAGTCCTCTTAACTCAACACTTTTGGGGATACTGTGGTCACCGCAGCAGCAGCAGCAGCAGCAGCAGCTCAAAACTTGCAAGCCAAGCGTTTGAGTCCACCACCCACCCGCCTTATCAGTAAAGGCAGTTGAGCCCCCAGGCACTGAGACTCTGTCATTGTAATCTCTAGTGGTGACTTCAGAGTCTGCCTGCAATTACTCAGCAGGCACTGGTTCCCCTCACTCCACCCCAAGCGGAGAAGTCTAAACTGTCAGGGGATCTGACTTCAAACTCAAACCATTAAGAAGGAGAAAAGGAGGAAACCTTTCTGTTCAAGTAACCCAGCTTCAGGACACTGACCCCCTAAGGGGCACCAGTGAATACAGTTCTGTCCACAGCCTCTGCTGTTTTAACCAGCAGATGGAAGTAGGATGGAAATACATCACAAGAGGTTTTGTTTTCTAAGTATGGAAAAATAGAAAGCTAAAAGTTCAGAAGTACTCACTGATTGATTATTTCTGTATGAAGTAACCAGGGTATTTTAGATTGTTCCTTTCGAGGCTCTAAATCAATTGTTTTTCTGAAGTTACTGGATACCCCAACAACTCCATTAGGTATCCATATAGCCATAATTTATAGGTGAGGAAACTGACACAGATAGATAAAGTGACTTGGCCAAGGTCACACAGCTAATTAGTGACAGAGCTGGGAACTTGAACCCAAGTGTTGGCTCCACTGGCCCTATTCTTATTCCAGCTGTTAACACATTGTCAACCCCTGGGAACTCATTCAAGAGAAATCTTATGCCCAGTGACTGTACCATGAACATAGTTGGCTAACCCAAGAGAATCCAAGAGTACCATGGAATTGAGACCCACCAACTGCTCTGCCATCAAGTCGTCAAGTCTTTAAAACAATCTATTAAGGAGCAGCTAGAGAAAAAGATTGTTCAATCCGTCTCTGCTCACTCACCTCTGAGAGTGCAGGAAGAAGATAGTCTATGTTTTAGAAGCCTGGCTTCTGCCAGCTCCCCAAACCCAGGCTATAGCAGCCCAGAATCCCAGCCTCATCCCACCTTCTCTGAGGTCTGAAAGCCAAGTTGGGGACCCGTGATGAAAGGAAGCATCAGCCAGCCGGGAGTCCAAATACCAGATGTGGGCAGGAAGACACCTGCAATCATCAGGCAATAGAGATGACCTCACTGAAAACCACATCTCAGCTTCCTCAGCCTTAGAACTGCCTCTGAGTAAAATCAACCACGTTTTACTGAGTGCATCTTTAGACCTCAGCTCTGTGCTCAGCATTTTACAATCTCCATCACACTTAACTCTCTCAAGAATCCTATAGAACAGTCTTGTACCCATTTTCTAGATGAGAATAGTGAAGCTCAGACCACTTGAATGATTTGTCCAAATCAAGATCATACAACCCCTGAGGAGCAGAGCCTGGATTTGAACGTAGGTCAAGCTGACTAAAAATTGCCTCTGTTGAAGCAGCACACTGTAACCTTCCCACTTGGGACTGTTCCAGCCCAACAAACAAGTCCTTTTAGAGAAACCCGACTCTCTGCCTAAGACAGTTCTTAGAACCACCTGAGAGAAGTTCCTTTTGGCAAGAAGATAGAAAGCCTGGGTGGGATTGGGGCTGTCTGATTTCCAAGGCCCCTTCATAGTATCAGAGAGTGGTACCGAAAGCCTTCACAGTTTCAGTCCTGTGTTTCCCTGCCTGGCTCGAAACTGCTCAGCAGAGAGAGAAAGGGGAGGGGGGGACCTATTTTCCCAGGGAAACACTCAGCTCTTAGCTTGAGACGGGGCTTGCCTCGACATGTCAAAGTGAGATCGTCAGCCCATTCATTTACCCTTACAAATTGCTCTGTGAGTCTTGGCGCCGGCCTCCCTGCTCTTTCCCCTTCTAGAAACCCCATCCAGCTTCCATGCTCGGAGAGCGCCAGGCATCCACTGATGTTTACTCACTCAAGTTCATTCGACATCTTCCTGCTCCCAGGCTCCCAGGCTCCCAGGCTCGAACAATCGGCACGGGGCACCGAGGCTCTGCTGACCGCTCTTCTCTAATTCTCGCCTGACACAGACATTCCCTGCCCAGGGAAGTGTTTGATTTATGTTGAGATTTCAGCGTCGGGATTCTGCTGACAGGTAGGTTCCTGGCAGCGCTGGTGCTGATTGGCTACAGGTACAGGTGCCCGCGACAGCAGGTATACCTCAACAGGTGCAGCTGTTAACTCTTGGCCTGCCAACTTGGGGGTGGAGCTATGGGGGGGCGGCTGGGTGGAGCTGGCCAATTCCTTCCTTGGTGAGGGGGTGGGGGGTGGAGACGAGGGAGGAGGGAGGAGAGAAAAATGTTGGAAAGAAGATAGCTAGAGGAAAAGTACAGGGACAAACAGATACTTGGCTGAAGGAAATCTTGATCCCTGTTTCTTGTTAGTATCCTGGCTACCCAGGAACACCCCTCTGCACACAAATTCCTCTGGCCCCTCCTCTGCCCAGCATCAAATACTTCACAGCCACGGGGGAATTCTCAAAGGAGAGAGCAGATCTTCCCCTGTGGTTCTCTGTATAAGTTCCCATTCTTTTTTCCAGAGCTTTCCCTTTAAGATAGTGATATCTTATTTCTGAATAGTCTTTTACAGTTATTCAAGTGATTTCTTTTGACTGTCATAGGAACCCACTGTGGTAGATCTTATTATCACCACACTCCCTTCCTCCCCAACACACACACTTTACAGGTGAGGAAATGGAAGCCGGAGAGGTAATGTGACTTGCCCAAGGGCATAAGCTAGTGAGTGTCAGAGCCGAGATTGGAATCTTCAGTCATCTCACTCCAAATTTGGCTGTCCCTTTGTGCTAAAATCAGTGACCTCATTTCAACAGACATTTATTGAGCACCTGTTGTGTGCCAGGCCCTACTCTGGGTTCTAGAGAGACAGAGGCCAAAAAGACAGGGTCACTACTCTCGGAGGAGTTTACAGTCTGGTGTGTGTGTGTGTGTGTGTGTGTGTGTGTGTGTGTGTTG